AAAGCACCCCAAACTAGAACGAACACTCCTACACACTTGGAAGTCGTCTGTGCTTTCCTATTTGCACCGAACAGCATGAACACAATTCACCTCTGTTTGTAGAACTCAGAGCTGCTCTCGTTGACCTATGGCGCTCTCGTGAGTCAACTCTTAAAGGACCTCGAACTGGTGGATGAAGTTAATGAGCAGTTGGAGAAAATGTAAGTGGGACACTCCGTCCATCTCTATAAACGTAAATGATTCCTTCGAGTTTTACTTTCTAGTGGGTAAGCGGTGTACTGGCCGATGGACGAGTAACTGCTCATTTTGTGTTGTCATTTTTTTTCTTCCCTTTAGGGGAAACAACATAGGCATACGACTGATCGAGGAATTTCTGGCCAAATCGGACATTTCGTTTTGTGAGGACTTTGAGGAGACCGTGGAGGTCATAGCGAAGGTAGCGATTTCGAGGTGGAGTAACTAGTTAACGCGAAGGGGACGCTCATCAAATGAAAGTTACACACACGCTCGAAGGAGGGGATTCCACTACTTATGCGTCCGCGAATAATATATGAGGGCATCCGCGATCGATTCCCTCCTACACTTGTGTAGAGACATGTATACATACCGACTTGTTCATCCACGCTCTCCCCATCCAGGTGGCATTCAAGATGTTCCTCGGAATAAGCGGGAACGTGACGTGTGTAGACAAAGAGACGAATTTGTACTCCATAACTTTTGATCGGAATCCGCTAAGCGATTTTGTGGAACTCCCCAAATCTTTGTCGTCCCTGAATTATTGCAGCCTGTTGTGTGGAGTTATCCGGGGAGCCCTCGAGCAGGTAGGGGTCTCGAAGCGGCCGATAGTGGGAGAAGGCAAGAGAGAAGCCGTGGAAGAAGGCAATTTTTTCTTCTTTTCTTCCTTTTTGCCTTCCTTTACTTTTTCCTTTTCTTTCTCCCCCCCGCGCAGATCCGCATAAAAGTGAACTGCTACTTTGTGAAGGACATGCTGAAGGGAGACGACTACTACGAGATTTACATTCAGCTGCTGGAGGTACGCAGGAGAAAGTTGCACGCTCGTTTTTTAGCCACACACGTGGTGTATTATATATTTAAACTGTATTCCCCCAATGGACCTAAAGCTTTTTTCATATAACTCCCCCGCTCCACTTGCTTATTTTTTCCCCTTTGTCCAGGTTATGAAGGAAGAAATTTTAAATGACGAAGAGTCGTGAAAAGTTAAAATTGTGAGGACTTTTTTTAAAAAAAAAAAATGATTAGTAAGCTTTTGCACAAGTTAGCCCCCATGATTGCAGAGGCAAAAATGGACTTGACTCATTTAGTCGCATAAGCATTTGCACAAAAAAAAAGGAAAAAAAAAAAAAAAAAAGAAAGCGTTTCCCGTGTGTTTCCCGGGACTCTCCCGTGCATTACGCCTTCTGCGCCTTTTTTAGTTCCTCGTAACAGCTGTCAAAGTAACCTTTTTTAATTTCTACCAACTTGATTATCTTCAACGGAATTAGGATGTTCCCGCAGTTTCGTGTGTACGATTGGCTGCCTTCGAAAGGGGGGGAAGGGGCGCACCAAACACTGCGGATATCTTTCCGAGATATCCAGCATGAACAGACCAACATATTTTACACATGGGTGGAACAGTTTTAACCGCGTCTGTTTTGTGTCGGACGTTCTCTCCCTCTATCTCCATATGCACATTTATGGACGTGCGAATGGAGCCATCGCACCCCTACCTGTGTAGCGCTCTTCGCAGTCGGTGAGAAATAAATTGTACTTGTCCACATATGCCAGGGCTCCAAAAAACTCCCTACTGTCATTCACCGTCACTTTGAAGTTTGGCCCATCGCAATTGTTCATGATCGTCTGCGGGGGTGGAAAAATCGCAAAAAAAGAAAAAAATATAAAAAAAATAAAAGAAAGAAAAAAAAAAAAACGCACATTGGGCAGGGTACACAAATAGGTGTAAACAAAACTGGCGTGAAAAGCATCCCTCTCCAATGGGAAACTCCAAATGACACAAATGTAAAGGAACGAAAAGACGCATCGAAGGAGCAACGTCATAGTGACCATTCATGACCATTGCTATAAGTGGCAGGTTTACCTCTAGCAGCTCCCTCGACGTTTCTACATTCCCCTTCCCCTTTAGTAAATCACTTTTATTTTCGACAGGGGCTGATGACAAGTTCATCTTTTTCAGTCGTTACTCTAGCCACAATGGGGCGAACAAGAAAGAACGATAAAATTGGTCATGTCATTCTCGGTTGACCACCTTGCTAAAGGCGTTGGAGGAGGTTGAGGAGAAAAAGATAAATTACCCAGTTAGCGTAAAAATGACGATAAAATGTCAATCATGTTGGGAAAATAAAAAAAGAAAAAAAAAGGAAATTTTTCTTTCTCATCACCTTTTCCATGCCATAATATTACATTACGACAGAAGTGCGCACGCGTAAAGTTATGTAGCCGAGCTACGCAGTTTTGCGGGGCATAAAAAGGTGTATACTCTCCTAGTGATACAGACCCCAAAAGGCTAATGCATGAATGGCGAAAAATCATTCGTCACACGCGCCTTTTTATTCTCACTGGTTCTAACCTTTTGGAAGGACACCACGATTGGGTGATGAAACAATTTTAATGGTCTGCGTGGAAGCTACGCACCATTGGTACAAAAGAAAAAATCATTCCGTCCATCATAAATTTTTATGATAAAAATATTCTACAAAGGAGTATATACACTTTTTGCCATTGTGTTGTTGGCACATTTTCGGTGAAAAGAAAATTGCCCTAATGGAGAGTTTTGTCCGCCGTTATTTTATTTCTTTCCATTTTCTCTTTGCTTTTCCCACCGCTCTCCGCTGCAGTTCAGTGTACCTCATTTTGGACATTCGCTTAGCAAAACGTGCCTTCCCACTTACAATGTTTCCTTCCAACGACAGGCATATACACTGCAAAGTGCTCTTATAGAACAACAGGTTGGCACTAACACGGTACCGCCCACACACATGTGCCCATTAACTTGTGCAACTGTGTGACGGTCTGCATATTTGTCACTCATACGCACCGTTATTCTCAGGATTGTATGTTCCATTTTTCACGTTTGGGTTGCCAGCCTCCATTTGAACTGCCATATATATTTGCCTGCAGACCTACCAATGGGTTCATTTTCACAGGGGAGGAGTGTACAGTATAACCCCTTAACGCAGCATTTTTTAATCTGACCTTTTTTTACATAAACATGTGTATGCGGCCCACGTAGTTCCTCTTCTTGTGAAACGAAGCAGGGCGAGGAAGGAATGTTCAATATAATCATTACACATAAGTGAAGAAAAAAGAAAAAAGAAATTCGCAGTCAATATTTCCATATCGTAATGATCACTCAATGCATGCTTCCCTGTTTTGCTCTTTTTCAAACCACTTAGTTGACGTACGCGAGTGGGCTACTTTCCCTCATCCTTCATTCGAGTATGGGTGTATTGCACATATGCGATTATGCACGTGTATATGTACACCACCTGCGTGCATCAACTCGTTGTCTCTTCACTTTCTCGCGCCCTTTTTCTCCCCCTAGGGAGTCTACCTCTAACGATTTCGCCAAACAAGAAAGAAACGGAAAGAAAGAAATGAAAATAATGAAATGAAAATAAAAGAAACAAGGTATAACAAGAGTTACGCAGGAATAATACGCCTTTTAATAATCCATGTCATTCTGTTCTCAAGCAGTTTTACGTGTGTAAACATGCTTTTATATATCCGTTGTCGCGTGTAAATGTGGCCTGCGAAATTTGTTATTGCATGAGTTGCGAAGGATGTATTCATTTGTTCGTTTGATCTTTTATTCGTCTGATCTTTTGTTCGTTTGATCTTCTGTTTGTTTGATCGTTTGTTCGTCCGTTCGTTTGTTCGTCCGTTCGTTTGATCGTTGGTTCGTTTGATCGTTGGTTCGTTTGATCGTTCGTTTGATCGTTCGTTTGATCGTTGGTTCGTTTTTTCACCCGTTCACTCGTCTACCGTTAACCCGTTCACCCGTTCACCAGCCCCATTTGTGAGAAGCATGCATTATTTATAAATGTGTAACGCGTTTGTTGCGTTCACATGTGGTCCCTTTCTTTGGCGTACTGAAACCATTAAACTCATTTGGCTCATCCTGCTATGTCTTAAAATATGTTACTTTTGATCACTAAAAAAAAAATTGTTTAACCCAGTTTTGACAATAATATTATATAATTTTTTTTTTTTTTCCTTGCACTTCGCATTTCTTTCAAATAAATGATATTTGCATTTGCCGCTTTTTTCATTCATTTTAACAATTAATATGCTGTGAATTACACAAGAGGAGTGTCACTACAAGTGCGTAAATGTCCACGCATAACACACAGGTGCGTTTATAGAGCTTTGCGCAAGAGTCCACCCCTCTTAGCAATTTGCTAATGGGGGAAAAGTTCTGAGCAAGAGTACTACCCATCAATGCCCGCTCAGTCGCGCACTGCAAATTGCAAATCGCAAATTGCGAATCGCAAATGCAAATTGCAAATAGCCACTCGCCCATGCGAACAACACTTTTGAAAACGCACGCCTTTGTGTACATGTTACCCTCCCTTTTTGCATTAAATCCGTTAAATGCACGACTTGAAGAGTCCGCTGCGAGAGTACAGGAATTGTGCCAACTGGACCAATTACGTGCGATCCACACCAACTGTAGAAACTGTGCGAACAGGAAAGGATTTACACGCATACTTGCATTATGTAGAAACGCGTGCTGAAGCAGGCACACGGATGACAGGCGGATGCAAACCTGTGTTAAGCAGATTCGTGCAAACTCGTAAATCATTTTCTCCCCCTAAATGACCGAATGCTTTCTTAATTGCGAAAGTGGCACACGAATGGTTTCTGAATTGCCATTCCCCCCATACGTTTGCACATGTTTGGTGCATGTTATATGAAGACTCCCGCGGCTTCACCGCAACAGAGCGTTATTTTTTTGATAATGGATCTATAAACATATATATGTATATGCAGATACACATATATATGTATACAAAACGTTATGTGTGCCTTTTTAACACTTTGGATGTGCTCACCCAGCTTGACGAGTAACCTTGGGGCACCCCCTTTTTTTAAACCCATTTAATGTCTACTGTTACGTCGTATGCCATTGATGCATTGGCGTAAATTCTCGATTCTTTTTTTTTCTTGCTAATCGTTAATGTGTTTGGATAAATGTGCCCAAAAGCGATTTTTTCCCCTCCCGCTGTTCCTTCTTTGCTTAATGAGGGAAGACACTCCCAAAAGGTTTGCTATGCACACGCCGAAAAGTACTTCTTTATAGCGCTTATTCACCGTTGGGAAAGCAACGTACGTGTTTTACCGTAACAGCACGGAGAGCGCTCTAAAACTGCTCTGCTGTTTTATGAATTTTTTTTAATTCTATTCAATTATGACGGGCGTTCGTGGTATTTGAAAAAAAACATCCGCCCATACTCGCTTTGTAGGAACCACTCAACCCTTCCTCCTCATTTTTACACATTTTCGCATCGCACAGGAAGGCTATGATGACCCCCTCCAGCAGGGCTATACATATGCCTACTATGCAGTGAGCAGAAGCTGCCTGAACAAGTCAGGTATACTTGTAAATATCTAATTTATTAAAAAAAAAAAACAGCCAAAAGGTAATGTTACTTTATTACTTATCGCCTTTTCGTGCATTCATTTATGCATCATACTTTTTCATAACAGCGTTAACCATTCAGCGTGCCCCTTCCCAGAAGTTGTGGTTGCTCCCTTTCTCAAAATAGGCATAAATGCAACATAACGGCAATTTAGGGGCATATGTATAAATATGTACTATCATGTGTATATAATACATATCTGGATAAATACGAGTAATGCCTGTGAGTAGCCATGCCCGAGCGCGCGTGAATAATATCTTCGTTTGCCGAATGAGCGAATAGTGACAGAAAAAGTAGAGTTCGAGTTCTACATCAGGATATATGCTCCCGTTGATTTGCGGAAAGCATAAAATGACGAACGATTCACGCGCATAATGCATGTTGGTTGCTTTTTACCATGGTCTACTAATACTGCTTAAACATCGAGTCGTTAAACGGTATGAACTATTCGTACTTTTTATTGCCCCTATGAAACTTACATGATATACGCCAAAATTTTTTAACTATACGAACGCGGATCGTACAATTTGGCGCATATGCTCGCGTGAAGATACCAA